TTAATTCAAGGCTCTTCTTTCCTCCTCAAGTAGATGGAAAAAGATCCCAGACAGCACAAAGAATACCTGGGAAGGCCTCCTGGCTTCCTGTCTACCCAAAAATCAAAAATCACAAACAGACTTTCTGGTCACTACCACATGACTGTCTGTGGGATCCGACTGTATGCAAACTGGCTGCAACATTCCCTAACTTTGCAAAAGTGACTATACTTTTAAAAAATAGCATTTCTTTGGTTATAAAAGCACTCTGATATATTCCAAGATTATGACAAGCCCTACATAAATGCAAGTCTTTCCTTTTCTACAAGATGAGACTCTGATGAAGTCTGTAGAAACAGCTCAGAAAATTGTTACATATCAAGCAGCAACATTTTTCTAACATTAGGCAGTACAGCACAAATGCAGACCTCGTGAGCACATCCTGAATATGTAGTATGCTTCTAGCCCAGTGAATGTGGGTTTCAGAAAATGCAAAGTGTGAAAGTCCCACAAAATGGCATTGTGCCAGGACCTGATACAATTACACCTTCTCCCACCATTCCCCAGGTGGAATGCAATTCCAGCAGTGAAGCCTTGTCGGTTTTGCAGGAAAGCAACTGAGCCATTACAAAAAGAACTCCTTTTTTCCCTACAGCACACGAGTTCCTCACTTTGCTGAGCCTTGACAGGGTCACCAAGGCAGGAGCACACCAAAAAGACCTTCTTCAGTGAAACCAACCGACTGAAATCCACTGCCTTCTGCAATAAGCAAGGTGGTGGAAACACATCACCAGTGCCAAGAAGGTGCCCATCACTGAAGGGTGGCAGAGATGGATACACATGGAGCTGTATCATGGGTTGACCGGAGCATTGCTGCATAACAGAATGCTGGGCCAATTAGTGTGGGGCTGCCACCATTCACTCGCCGTCCCATCTTGAAGCTCTCAATGCGCTTGGTGCAGTATCTAGTTTGTAGGGATCACTGACTTCCTTGGCTATTACCCGCCCCCTTCCTCTAGGTCCTTGCAGCTCACTTCATTGTAGCCCCTCAGTTCCAACAGCAGGTCCCCCAGGGAACTCTGAGGCCTGGTGGTGATTGGTAGGGGGAGGGGCAAGGACCTTAGGTCATTTTTCCATTCCTGCAGCAGCCTCAAAAATGCAATTGTTGAAAAGGCTTTGTAATCCACACTATGGCCACTTTAATGTGAATGTCACTTGAATGGACACTTCATCCCGCGGACGTGATGAACAATGTGGTGTGGGAAACAGCAATGCCTGGTCAAAAGTCAATGATTCAGGTTCATAATTAGACAATTATTCCACATTACGCCAGGTTTGGAGGTTTTTTTTCAAATCTGTTCACGGGATGTGGGTGCTGCTGGTTGGGGCAGCATTCAATTGACCATCTCTAAATGCCCTTGAACAGAGTGGCTTGCCAGGTCATTTCACAGTCAACCACATGGCTGAGACTGTGGGAGTCATCTGTAGGCAGACCACACAAAGATGGCAGATTTCTGTCCTCAAAAGGGCATTTGTGAACCAAATTGATATTTCGATCAAACGGCAATGGTTACATGACCATAGTTGGACAAGCTTTCAATTCCAAGATTTTTTTATATTGAATTCAAATTTAAACATGGTAGAATTAAACAGCATATTTGTACAATATTAGCGCTGATGGCTCTAGATTATTAATTTAGTAACATTACTGCTATGACACTTATTCAGAGGATTGTGCCTATCACACTCCCCACCTCAGAACAGGACAGAATGCCTAAATGCAGATCATTCCTTAGATAATAACTTGGAGTGATGGGAGCGAATGGGTCATAAACACTAAAGAAAAGATCAGTGTTTCTCCACATAATGGAAAAGGGCTGTTGTAGGAAACTTCTCCTGAAAGTCTTACACAGGATCACCAGTTATTAGCAGCTTTCATGAATTTTCAATTGTTCGTGTCCTAGAAAGTGCACATACACATTGGGGATTGTGGCAACCACACATCCTGTCAGTCACAATATGACCTCAAACCAGAATTTGAAAGATCAGAGCCCACCTTCAGATATATGCAAAATGGACTTGCTGAGTATTAGAAGCGATGTGATTACAGAGTTCTGGTATTAGCAGCAAAATTCTTTACAAAGAAAATTCAACCAGTTGGTTGATAAATACCAATGGCCAAAATTTAGTTCCACTGCGAATTAACCTTGCCACAAAGAAGTTAACAATATGGCAAAACAAAATTCCTGGTTAAAAGATGATTAATTTAACAAATCAAAGAGAGGACCTTGGAGGTGCGAGGAAGGCTCGCAAGAATTTGAGATTCACTAAGAATATTGAAAATTCCAACCGCATATACAAAAAAAAGGTTAGTTATATGCAAACAGATGGAACATATCCCAAGCATATTCCATGACATTCACAACTCTGAAATCTCTACCTTATAACATTATATTGCAGGCACGTTCACGCAGCCAGACTGGAAGAGGTGAGCAAAAAGCATCTTGTAATTCTATGCAACAGTCAAACCCTAAACAAGATATTTAAAATTAAATGCATTCACGTCATGATTCAATTCTGTACCAGCATGGTCTTTACTTCATGAAACAAACACTTGTTAGACACCAAGAGGAGCAGCCCACATTGGTCAAGGAACAGCGTCAAGACATTTGAATTGGCTGCAAAGCAACTTCCCCTTCAGCTACCAAGTATCAATGCTTGTCCTCAACATGAACAAAAGGATCTGGGCTGGCATTCTACGCAGCTGTTGCATTGCAACAGTTGCAGTCTTCCAGATGAAACGTTAAAATGGGGTCTCCCATGCCTCTCAAGTGGACATTAAAGATCCCTGGCAAACGTATTTATCCCTCAACAACCCTAAAAGATGAACTGGTCTTACCATACTGCTGGTTCTGGGAGTTTTTTTGCCGCACATCTAGCATTCCAACATTGACCATAATACTTATTGTAGACGCCAGTGTGTAAGCTAACTTCTGATGTCTCAAAAACAATCTCTCTCTATAAAGAGGGCAGACTTTTATGCCAAGTGAGACAGAGTGATAACCAGCTTAGCCCTTCATCACACAGGGGTTGGACTGTGAGAATGCGTCTCAAACACACATGTATTTTTCTTAATTCACTCATAGGACGTGGGCCTTGCTGGCTGGCCAGCATTTATTGCTCATTCCAAGGTGCCCTTGAGAAGGTGCCCTTGTGCCGCCTTCATGAACCACCACAATCCGTGCACTAAGTTGACCCACAATGCCTTTTAGGGAGGGAATTCCAGGATTTTGACAATGAAGGAATGGCGATACATTACCAAGTCAGAATGGGGAGTGGTGACTGATGGCTTGGAAGGGAACCGGGAGATGGTGGTGTTCCCACGTATCTGCTGCCCTTGCCCTTCTAGATGCAAGTGGTCATGAGGCTGGAAGGTGCTCTCTAAGGATCTTGTGTGAATTTTAGCAGTGCATCTTGTAGATAGTACGCACTGTTGCTTCTGAAGGTCAGTGGTGGAGGGTGGGGATGTTTGTGGACGTGATGGCGATTAAACGGCTGCTCTGTCTTGGATCGTATCATGCTTTGAGTGATGTTGGAGCTGCACTCATCTGGGAAACTGGTGTGTATTCCATCGCACTCCTGACTTGTGCCTTGTAGATGATAGATTGGCTCTGGGAAGTCAGGAGGCGAGTTACTGGCCGCAGTATTCCTAGCCTCTGACCTACTTTCAGCCAATGTGTTTGTGTGGCAAGTCCTAATGAGTTTCTGGTCATTGGTAACCCCAAATATGTTACTAGTGGGGAATTCAGCGATAGCAGTGATATCAAGGGACAGTGGTTAGATTGTCTCTTATTGGAGATGGGCTGACATGGCAAGTAATGACCAAGCCTGGATTTTGTCCAGATCTTGTTGCATTTGAACACGGACTGCTTCAGTATGAGGAGTCACGAATAGTGCTGAACGTTGTTCGCTAATGATCGCACATCCCCACTTCTGACCTGATGATAGGAAGTGGGGGGGAAAGCAGCTGAAGATGGTTGGGCCTAGGACACTACCCTGAGGAATTCCTGCAGAGATGTCCTGGAGCAGAGACGACTGACTTTGAACAACCATAATCATCTTCCTATGCCCCAGTGTGACCCCAATCAGAGAGTTTACCCCCTGATACTCACTGATCCCAGTTTTGCTAGCACTCTCTGATGCAACCACATCTCAAGACATCCTGTATTTCCTGCTTGACCTTTTGCACCCATTTACTAAACTAAATCCATTCAACAGGTCAAAAATTGAGGCTGTGCTCTGAAAAAATGGGCAGGCATGTGCACAAGCACGATCTTGGGTAGATTGCCAGATCATGTGCCTTTTGAACCGAGGGAATGGACCAGTTTTGTGGTTAACAATGAGCCCTTGTTACTCTTCAGAAACTAACATAACTTTAGGATTTTGCATACGTACAAATTAGTACGGAAAACCTGAAGTCTGTCACAGACTTGTGGGACACAACCAGAGCCTGCAAGCACTGAAATCATTTCAGCTATCCTGCACCCACAATGAACACTTTTTAAAAAGGGTTTCAAATGTGTAGTTGGGCATTTAACTGCAGTATGATTAATAAAATTTGATAAAATTTGCCCTGGAATGCTGTTAACTGATCAATTAGTTTTTGAAATGTTTTAGTTTCTACTTCACCTCAGGTGTATGCCCCAAATTTTACTCTGTACTATGTAGATTTTTTTTTTGACAAGTGATTTTAATTTCGTTTCATTTTCATTTGTGTGTCTGATAAAACCTTGTAATGTGACTGGCTGCTTGGACATCCTGATAATACATATTCCCAGTGTGGAGCTGCAGTGAAGAGCAATTTAATCAACTGCTCTATCAGTACATACCTATAGGTGAAGTGCTCAGCAAGATTCTTTCAAGGTCAGCTGTGAGTTTCTTCACTTCATGACAACCCACAAACTCTGGGATAATAAATCATTCAAATGAAAAAAAAACATTCCAACGACTGGATCACCTACCCATGTAGCGAAAGGTCTCCTCGGCCTGGGCAGGAGATAACTCGCTGGATGCATGGCCAGGGTACGCGGGGACCTGCTCCCAGTCCTTGTTCTGATAGAGATAGAGGGAGTCTGCCCGCAGGTGGTACCTGGCTAGCTGATCTTCAATCAGGCTCACAAGTTCCACTTCAGGCAAATCCTCACTGCTGCACACATCTGGTAACAGGGACAGAAACACTTTTCAGGGTCACCGCTTCACATTCATCAGAGCAGAATCACAATTGTGTTGTACACATCTCAGTACTCCCAGTGTAGTCACATTAAGCTCTGAACAATTGTGGCAAGGCTTCCTCATGCTTGTAAAGTAAACTGCTTGTAATAAGGGCTAACAAAAGGTTTGCCTTCTCTATTGCTTGCTGGACATGCATGCAGGGCCAGGGACAGAGATCAGAAATCCCAGTTTTGCTCCTGGCCCACAACCCCCCAACCCATGCCCCTATAGTTGCAGGCCCTGTTTATTGGGTCCTGATATGATCCCCGACCCGGGCCCTTCCTGCATGTTAAAATTGGCTTACTAGCATCTGATTTCCCTGTGCACCAAACACCTCTCAATTTGTTACCATTTAAAAACAACCTGCTTTCATACCAAAGTCAGTACCCTCATATTCTCTCCATCTGTATATATCCTTTTGCGGAATCTATATTTGGCACAGCATTTATTTCCAGAGCTCCACATCATCAAGCTGGGATACAGCGCCATTGTCTCTTAACAAAGTCATTCATATATATTATTAATAGTTGAAGTTCCAACACTGATCCTTGTCACACCTCACAAGTAACCACCCGTAAACTTGAAAATGACTCATTTCTTCCAACTGTTTCTCAACCATTAGCCAATCCTCAATAAATGCTAATATATTCCTCCAGTTCATAAACCCTAAATCTTATAGAATAAACATCCATGTCACACCTTATCAAATGCCTTTCAAAAATCCAAATACATTATTTCTACTGGGTTATCTTTAGCTAAACTACCAATTATATCTTCAAAGAACTGCAATTGATTTCCCAAACATTTCATGTTTCATGACAGGATGTTGACTGTAACCAAATGATTTTCCAAGTGCCTGTTACCAATTACTTCAAAATGGATTCCAGCATCTTCAATGACTGGTAACTCTGTTGTCTCTCCATCTTTTTCTGAATAGCAGTGTTACAGCTGCCACCTTCCAATCCACTGGAACTATTCTAGAATTCCTTACTGTTAAGTCATGCAGTCTCTTTATATGTACTCGTAGAATCCAAAGAGATAGCCCATAAAAGTTAGGGGATTGTTGGGGTTTTGGTCTCATTAATTTCCCCAGTAGTTTCTCCCTTACAAACAGAGTTCCTCAGATGCATCAAACCCTCAGTTTCCAACCATTTCTGACATAGTTTTCTTGTCAGAAATTGTCTGTACCAATCAAGCCACATTGCAAGTGCTGGGAATTATTTATAATTAGGAACTATATAAAAAAAAATGGAAGATGTAGCACAGTTTTGACATTTTCAGATCAAATAATTTTATCAAGGACCGAGGTCACCAACTTTATATTTTCTTCTCCACGGGTATTGTCATTACATTCCCCTGGACCAAGTGGGACCTGAACCCAGGTCTCCTGGCTCAGAGGCTGGTACATTACCATCGCACCACAACAGCCCCCACAGATCACTCGTTTGACTTGCACTGGAAGTCACCTACTGTAAACTGAAAAAAAAACAGATGTTGGAAAAAAAAGAGTCAAAGCTTAAGGAGATAAGAGGAAGAGTTTATTGCTTTAACATGATCATCGTGGCTTTGAAGCAACTAGGGGCCTCAGGCAAATGGTTAGTTAGCAACCACCTCTAGATTTAGAATTCTACATTAAGATTTAGGGTGGTTGTGAAGTATGTACCGCAGATACTGCACCAATCCTCCAGGCATCCTTTTCACAGTTGAAGCTCTGAGAACTTGAAATAATTTCCAATTACCAGTGTTTCTGGCTACCTTGTAAAATCTGAAAGGCTGAACTGTGACTAAATTTTCCGACGAAAATTCTCCAATTTTTGAATCCTGGCTGATGGCAAATCAGAACTAGACTTCTACCATCCATCTCGGTCAACAATTCAACTTTGCCGACAGCAAATCACATGGATATGAGAAGTAATGACATTCTACCTTCTGCTTCTATACACTTGGCTGACCGGATTTTTCTCCTCTTTTGCTTTTTTCTTAAAAACCATCATTCTGCAGAGATGGCTACCTTTGTGTGTTTTGACAGTATGGTGTGTTTGAAATTAAAGAGATATAGTTTTAATTCCGATCATAAATTAGACGTTATGTAGTGTTTGATGCTTTAAGAATAAATTTTGTCCATGATTCAAGGAGCATTTTCAGTTTTTAAAGGAGTTTGGTGAACTTTTTTTTTTATTCTGGATAGAAGTACAAAAGAGAAGCAATGGTCATAATGGCAACTAAAATCAACATATTTCTGCGAACGGCGTGACTGATGGAGTAGTTGTGCTCGAGTATTAGTGTATTCTCCCAGTCACAGTAATAACGAGTGTCATTGACAAAATGTGTAGTAAACCTTTGGAGAAAATTATACAAGAGAGATATACATACACACAGTTTGTGTTAAGTAACGGAACATTTAAAAAGAAGTTTCAAATCATGTTTCATCTTCTAAATACTTCTAGTATTTCAGATTTTTCCCTAACACTCCATTGTCTGAAGTAAAAGCACCACAGCAGACACTATTCAGTCCAACTAGCCTGAATCTTCAGTGCAAATTCTAAATTAGATTCAGCCTCGTACTTTTCACACAGATTTTAAAAGTCTTTCAAAGACCTTCTCAATGTGATGTTTACCTGAGCAAACCTCTTCCTGGTTAACCGATGGAGCGATGAGCTCCAATGAGTAAATGGCAGTAACCGTAAAAATACTCCCTAGGAACAAATTAACATTAGATTTAAAAATTAGCTTGCTCAAAATCTTATCAAAACAGTTAAAATCAGAAAGATTGCTTATCTGTCTCAAATTTTACTTCCTTATGGAAAAAAAACTGAACAAAAAACTCTTCAAAAGAGAAAAGTGAAAGGTAACCTCACAAAAGTCTTTAAAATTATGAAAGGGTTTGATTGAACAGATGTGGAGATGTTTCACTCAAAAGGTAATCCTTAAATAATACATAATCACATTGGCCAAGAGATGAATTCAGAAGGCCTTCTGAATTCGTAGTAATTCATAGTAGCAAGGATGTGGAACTCATTACCACTTGTCGTGGTTGAGACATATTGTATAGGTATATACATGAGGATGAAAAGATTCGCAGAATATGATGAAACAAAGTAAGCATTGAGTGGGAGGAAGCTCATATGCAGCATAAACACGTATATAGAATTGATGGATGCACAAGATGAAAACAAGTCAATATTACTTTAAGAATTCAAGAAATTTTAAAACTTATTTTAAATGTTGTTCCAATTGCTAAAAAAACAGTACTTGATTTCTAAAAGAAAACAGACATTAAGAAAATGTTCTCTTTCAGAAACTCTCATAATGTTTACGTACTTTGTAAATGTACACTGGCAATGCCAAGTCTGGAAAATGGGATTAGAATAGTTAGGTGGTTGTTCCTGACTGGCATAGATTTGATGGGACAAAAGGGCCTTTATCTGTGTTGTTGACCTCTGTGACTCTGACTTTATTGAACATGCTAATAGATGTGCTGCAATGCAGGTGTTGGTCAACATTGAGAACGGTAAATTCTCTTGATAAGACACTTATTCTAGCCATTGAAAATAAGATCAGACAGTACACAGAACTCTCCTTATTTTGTTGCAATGACTTCTTAAAATAGAGCAAATTATTGAAATCATAATCAGTTGAGTTTGCCTGAAGTGTAGTAAAGTCTCTGTGGAATAGAGTAGGAGGAAACTGTGTTTGGAAATTATTAAAGTTCTGGAACAATAATTAGACATGAAATTCTGAAAATTCTCCCAATATTCCACATTATGGGTTATATTTAACAGAGTTTTCCTCCTCCCTGATCCAAAGTCAGCCAGGATAAGAAGCTTTAAAGAGCTAAAGCTTCAAAAAAAAAAAAAAAGGATTTTAGTAATCCACGTTCAAAATAATTCCTTTCGGGTCAGTTAGATGAATCTTTGCTTCAATAAACAGAGACTGCAGCATGACAGTCATTCAAATGACACTGGTCAGAATTTATGCACACAATACTGGTTTCTCTATGCCCACTATTTCTTCTCAGAGAATCACTTCAGTATAAAGTTCAAGCTAACACTGAAGAGCGGTGTAATTTTTGATAAAAGGAAGAGTAAATCTGCTTGACTCTCTGGGGTGTAAGTACCACTATTTTCTGATGGGAAGCCAGGGATAGAACTGATTGCATCACTCAATAAATAAAGAATCAAAACAACGCCTGGGTGTGACCAGATGGGATTAAATGTGACTCAGTAACACTAAACTAGATCCGCCCCATGCATTCTACTATTAGAAAGTGGGTTTTCACCAATCATGATATTTAACCATGCTAGCCTCCTCCAACACTATTTACTTAATTTTACACCTTCAACATCATTGACCTCCCTCAGCGGCGCAAGATTCATTAGGCCAGTCAGACTTGCGTCAGCTCTTTAAATATACAGTCCAGTTTAGTCTCACATACAGCTTTGTTCCCATAACCCTGAAAATCAGTCCCCTTCAAGCACTCCTCTTATTGGTTTTAAAAAAATATTTTAGGAGTTGATTCCGTACTTTCAGGCAGTGCATTTCAGTTATGAGCAACTGACAAAATTGCCTTTTTTCCCCTTTATAGCTCCTTTGCCAATTTGTTTAAATCTCTCCACTTTGGTTACTGATGTATTTGCTCACGGCAGAATTCTTGGATCACAAACCGGTTATGGCAAACTTAGCATCCAGATCATTTCAGAGTCACAGCCTTGCACCTGCTTGCTTAAGCAGCAATTTCTTGGGTACAAATGGTACATCCTGTTTCATTGCATTTAAACTGAATGCATGAACTATCGTTATGCAAGCACCTTTTAGCTTCATCATGTATTTCCTTTGAAAACACTCGAGATTGTAATTTGGCTCCTCAAATTTTGACTATGGCTTGAAATTGAGTTGGGTTTACCACAGAATATTAAAAGCTCGGTTTGCTTCCAGGAATTGATTTGCTTATGTGCCACTGATGTTCCAGCATTCTGGCTTCACTGGTTGCAGCTACAAAGTTGAAATCCATGTTAAATTTATATCTGCTTGAAGATTATCTACCAGTGGATCAACTGCACTAGGAACAACGCTGTCCAAATATCCAGATCCACAAAACAATTATAACAGGACATCCCACAAAAACATTAAAACCTTTTAGAAGCATTAAATTTGCTTAAAGACTTAATTGCAAGAGTTCAGAGGTTACACAAAGGCCACTGACCACATTTCGGAGAGTCTCACTGTGTATCCTTGCTTTGCCAGTATTTCAAATATGTGACATACCACAGACCCAATTAGTAATTACACAATAGTAATCAAATGATGAAGTAAAGGCTGAAATTGTGTGGCTGCAGCATCCTGGAACCAGATGATAATTTTCAAAATGGAGACTTCAGCTGTAAAAGTCTTTTTTAAACAAATTTTTCAAAAAAAAACCACTTCTTTCTGTTAAGTGTAGGCGCTACAATAGGCACTGATTTGTCAGGCACTCCATTGATTAGATCTTGTCAATGTTAAATCACTTTCCTACCTAGTACTTGCTGCTTCCTCTCATTCAGCCAATTCTTCTTCCATCATGTTGCACAGGATACCCTCTCCATTCTCCTGCACTGCATCTGCTCTGCTCCATTTCCCTGGTTCCTTTTATTAACTAGCCCAACAGGCTCAGTTGATCTCCTGCAATAGCTTCTCTGCCTACACCCACGTTACCATCGGGATCAACCACTCCAAAAATCAGGAGTACCTCCTGGAACAAAGTTGTTTCCAATTGAATGACTAAGAACGAATTGAAATTAGAAATGCAAAACATGTTGTTCCATCTCTCCTCCTAGTCTACTTCCATTTAACAATCACCTGGGTGCATTGTAGACTCTTTCCTACATCAAATCCTGGATGGACAAGAAATTCAATTTCAATTCCACACTGGCAAAATCAAAACCATCTCTTCTTGGTTCCCATGAATATCCTTTTCCTTAGCTGCTAATCCATCCTAAAATCAATTTTGGTAACGTTATTCATCTCCATCTGACCTGCAGACACTGAAGTAATCAAACCTGGACACATCCAATTTAGTGGCTGGTTCACCCTTAATTCTCGTCCCTTTCAAACTGCAGCTCGGACACTATTCCACTGTACACAGCATACCGCCACAACCAATGCCTATCACTGTTTCCATTACATCTATCTTAGACAGCCGTCATAGGTTTCCCAACAGTATCAATTTCAAAATTTTTGTCCTTTCCACATGTTCCTCACTGGCTGTAACTATCCCAGTGTCCCTGCACTTATTCTTCAGCTCTTTTATATTCTGTTCCAGTGCTCAAGTTTCACTTGTCTCAGATTCCCAGATTCAGTTTAAAACCCTCTGCCCTCCTACCTCCCTCTAGTCTTGCAAAAATCTCCTATCCTTCTTTCAGTAGTCTGTGACATGATTTTGTTAAATTTAAAGGTAAAGCACACAATTATTAAAATACACGACGTGTCAATATCACAAGCACCAAGACATAACAGAACTGTATCAGAACTGCTTAATTTACACTAATAGACACTTCAGTGCCGTGGAGTCAAACTTGACACCTAATTCTTGTACAGCCAAAGAGAAAATTATGTTGTTTTCAAACCAGAATCTTAGAATTAAATAATATTTTATAATCTATTTTAATTAAAATTAAGTTACATCAAAAAACTTAAGTTACCCTTTAGTACTACACCAATAAACCATTAGCTTAACATTAAGACTACTTCCCTGACAGGCAAATTCACATCTCATTGATATCCTGGCTCACCTACTTAGACCAGAATCAAGCCTATAACTAGCAGGTTGCTGAATTCAGTAATATGCAATTATATTCAAGTCCCACATTACACTTAAAAGAAAAGCTCAGTTTTCACCTCTTCAAATGCAGAATTTTGTTTCTGTTCTTACCAGTGATGCTTCCTGTCTCTTTCTGATCCACATTCATGGGATTTTTTTCTGGCATCACTTATCCAAAGGCATTCTGGAAAATTCTCTCTTGTAAGTTGCAGCCTACTCTCAAACACTTCACACTAGGACAGAAGATTCACTGCTTTGGTGAAGACAGCATACCATCCTGTGGAATCTCCAATATTGCTGTGTACATTCAGATTCACATTAAAGTCTTGGTTGCTGAACTCATCTTATTCTGCCAAGACGGAACTGGGAAAGCTACTGAAGTCCAAGCAGATCGCTGAAAAGGAGAATGAGCACGATACCTCGTGTTCAGATGCAACCTGTGGCCAAAACAAAAAGTATTGCACTTAGTATGAATTTCTTTATCTCCCCAGGCAACCTGATAGGTCTGGCAGTGGAGTTAATGCAGTAAGCTAACACCAGAATTACTTAGTGCTTTATAAAGGGCATTCATGGAAGCAAATTATATCATAAATCAAAGAAACAGGACCAAAGAGAAGTTTGGAATATTCATTTTAGTCCATTAGGCAGGTACAGAAATCCAGAGTTCAGTTCCTGTTTTAACTGTGTGGGTTACAGTTTATCTCGCAGAAAAATGGAGCAACCTTTTGCGAAGGTTAATAAATATCCAAGGAGGTGCAGTGGAGTAGCTGAGTACATCTTCAACTGATGATACCGAGCTGGTCTTATAGTTCATGTAACATCAACCCTGAGCACTATACAATATCTTGATATCTATCCTTACGGTTTTAAATAATGGCAATTTCAAAATCCACATCCTGAACTGCATTCAGAAATTCAGGAGCGACTCTGCAACTTATCTATCAGCGCATTTGGAGCTAATATTGACCCATAACAGGTCACAACTTTAGGCCTGTATTTATCTTGCAAGCTGAGCTTTTGGAGTATATAAAAAGCATGCCCATTAGAAGTATTCAAACAGCTCATTCATTCAGTCCCAGGGAGTACTTCAATAGGATATCTGAAATACTGATTTCAATCACTACATTCCTATTTATATACCTTTCTACTCTCCATTATTTGACCTGCATCAACTGTACTCGTATTACAGTAGATCATCAAGCCAGTATATAGCTGTACTGCCAGAAGTGAAACAAATCCATCTATCATCCACTTGATAAGATAATGCTAACCTTTTAAGATAACGCTACATTTTAAACTGTCAGTCACATTCAGTCACTCTGACATTCAAGCCAGAAAGTTGTGACTTGAAGTCAAACCTCAAGGTCCCCCAGTACATTATATCAGTACAAAGTACTCTTTCCTGAGAGCACCAAGAGTGTGTTGCACTGTTGGAGGTACTGTTTTTCATACAAGACATTAAATTGAATCTCCATTTATTCTCAGGTCGAAATTAAAAAGATACATTATGGTTCTTAATTAAAGCAAGGAGCATTCTTCCTGGCACTCTCGCCAATATCTAGCTCTCAACCAGCATGACTTTAATTAAAAAAAGGCTGTGTGGACAGCCAAAAGAAATAAGTACCCATTATACCTTGAGCGCACTCCATCATTCACTATAATAATGGCTGATCTTTTACAGAAAAACCACTCTCCCACCCTAATCCCATATTCCTCGATTCCCAGTCAGTCTCAGCTTTTAATCTACTTGCTGGCTGAGCAGCCAGTTTTCTGGAATTCCAAAGATGTATAACTACTTGACTGAAATTTCTCCTGTCAGCCCTAAATGACTGACCTTTTATTCTAAGGGCCACGGACCTCTGTTTGACACACAGTGCAAAAGGAAGTCATCACAGCATCAACCCTACGAAGCCCCTTAGAGTTTTTTTTAAACTATATTTCACCTCTCTTTTTGTAATCAAAGAGCATGGGCCCATTCTATTCAGGTACAACAAAAGACAGAACAGCCATGAAACAAAATCAATTAAGCTCAATAGCACACCAAAACACCACCCGCAGTGGAACTTGCAAAAAAAAAAACAACCCAAGATAATATAGAAAGAAAAAAGCTTGAAATAAAAATAAGCGAAGCCACAGTCAGTTTACAATTTACTAAGAATCAATTTTAAGGAAAGAATAAAAAAAAGAAAGTTACAAAATAAAAACCAAGGAATGAAATAAAGCAGAGAAGCAGGATGGTAAATATTTTTGCTCCTTTAATTTTAAAAAGCAGCGTGGACACTTGAGTGACCTCAATGGATTCATCAGGGCATTTTTCTGGAATTACACAAAATCCTGACAGTTTGCTCAAGACAGACAATAATTTTGATTTTTGAAAGAAATAAAACAGGTCGGAGGGAGAAAGAACATAATTAGTGGTGCTGACTCAGGGCATGATTGCTTCATCTCTCCTATACAAATATAGTGGGATAGAGAATGGATGAAAGATAGATAAAATTTTTTAAGATAAATTGATAATAAAAAAAGTGAATTCTCCGTTAGTTATGTGTCTGCTACAGAAACACTCTGATTTTACAAATCCCCACTGATACAATAATTTATAACAGAACAGAGTCTGCAAGTATTGTGACATTAATCAGTGTACTACTCACTGGATGGTTGCTCAACAAGATGTTGGCGTGAATAATTCAGCAACATTTTCATTACGAGTGAGTAACAAGGAGGACTGAGATTAATCAGTGCAATACATACTCTGCCAGCCAGCCAGTCCTGGGCAAAGTTTCAAATTCGAAGCTCAGAGTTTCCTAAATTGCAAATTCAATTCAGAAAATGGTTCAACCAGCACTCAAAGTTATACTTTCCAGATCCACAAGCGTAGATGTTTTTGTTGCCCAAATGACTTAATCCTTAGGTGCTTACAAAATGATAGAGACTAGAATTTTACAGAAAATGTAGATCAGAAGTAGGCCTTTTGGCACAGTGATTTCCCTCCATTATTCATGGAGATCATGGCTGATCAGATAATCCTCAACTCCACCTTCCTGCCTTATCCTCATAATCCTTGATTCCCTTACTAATTAAACATCAGTCTATCTCAGCCTTGAATAAACTTAATGACACAGCCTCTACAATAAGGAATTCCACAAATTCACTATCCTCTAAAGACAAAATTCTGCCTCAACTTTCTTAAATGGATAACACCTTACTCTGAAATTATGCCCTCCGGTTCTGGAATCTTCCAAGTGCAAATAACCTCTCAGCATTAATCTTGTCAAATTCTCCAAGGATTGTATACATTTCAAAAAGGTCTTCTCTCATTCTTCCAAACTCCGATACAATCCCAACCATTTAACTTCCCTTCAAAAGAAAATCCATCCATGCCCAGGATCAGTCTAGAGAATCTTCTTAGGTAAGAGGCCAAAATCTTTTCACAGTCTTCCAGCTGTGATCACACCAGTGCCTTGAATAATTTTAAGAAGGCTGTCTTATTTTAATATACCATTCCCTTTGAGATAAAGAGGCCAACAGTCCATTTGCTTTTCCTATTAGCTGCTGAACTTATGTTCTATTTTTTAGTGATTCATGCAGGAAGACTCCCAAATCTCACTGGGCTGTGGCTTTCTGCAGTTTCTCTCCATTTAAATACTATTTAGCTCCTTTACCTACACATTTTTCCACATTACATTTCATCAGCCCACCTTTTCTATTTTTGCTTACTCACCTCAACTGGCTATATACCTTTACAGACTTTGTCTCATCCTTGCTTGCCGACACAATAGTTGTGTCATCTGTAAACTTGGTGACAGAAGAAGTGAAATGTACTAAGTTACTAACTACAGCCCCAGCACTGATCCCTGTGGCAGTCCATTAAGTTATAGGCTGCCATCCTGAAAAATGCCCCCTTTATCCAACTCTGTCCTCTATTCGTTAGCCAATTCTCTACCATGCTCATAGATACTTTTAATCAACCTGTTTGGACATGTTATAATGCACCTCTGAAGCAGGTGAGACTTGGTACTGGGCTTCTAGTTCAGATGTGGGGACACTGCCACGGCACCATAAGAGACCCATTACCACTCTTATATACGATCCTCATGCTGACTCTGCTGGATTGGATTATGCATTTCGAAATGCTCTGCTATTACATCTTTTGTAATAGGCTAACATTTTCCTAAGGAAAGATGTTAATCCACTGGCACAGTTAACCTGCTTTTTGACACCCTCCATTTTTGAATAAGAGTGTTATATTGGCAGCTTACTGCTATGGAACTTTTCCAGAATTTAAAGATTCATGGAAAATTACAACCTATGGATCTACTACTCTCTACAGTGTTTGTTACAGAAAATACTTTATTCATAAAACATTTATCTATAAGTACACACAAAGTGTTCTCAATCTGTTCCGTCCAAGGAGAGAAAAAAGGAAACACGGAGATTGGAATTTGACATCCTACAGGGCTACAGTACATTTTCAAAACACAAAAGGCAGTAAATCTATCACTCAGATCATTTATTAAACCTGCTGTATTACACATTACTAGATCTAAAATAGCTTAATTCTTGGTTGGATCCAGAAAACTGTCCCAAATACACAATAAATTCTTCCTGCCGGCTAACTCTGCCCATTTGATCTTCCCCATCTGCAAGAAGATTAAAATCACCAATGATTACTGTACTGCCTGTTTTACATGCCCCTATTATTTCTTGATTTATTCTGCCCTCCATAACAGTGGGGGCTTATGGATTACTCCCACTTGTCATTTCTTACCTCCACCCATAGGAATTCTACATTTTCTGCTGCAAGATCATTTCTTCCCACAGTACGTATTTCATCCTATACTAACAAAGCTATCCCACCGCCCTTTCCTTCTGTTTATCTTTCCAGAAAACCCCATATACATGAATATTTACTTCTCTTCTTTGATCTCCTTGTAACTGTGAACCCATAATGGATATATTATACCAATGAACCTCTACTTGCATTGTGAATTCATTTATTTTGCTCCAAAAAGTATGTTCATTCAAATAAAGAGACATTAATTTTGCTTTTTTGTAAAAACGATTTCATCACCATTTGACTTTATTTGCTGCTGTATTTATGCTTGTACCAGTGCTGATGCTTTTCAAATGTAACTCCTAACTGTTTAAAATCAACAAAATTACTTCAGTCTTATCAATGCCATTGGTACTAAAGTGGATGACGACAACTGAATCCCATCTATCCAATGTCTTCTATCACCCTAATGGATATTAGTGAACCAAATAGGTTTTTACTAATTGAAGGTAGCTTCTGATGACCCTTACTGACACTAGTCTTATATAATTTTGTTGCAAATTTCACCAGCTGCCATGGTAGGATTTGAACCAGTGTTGCCAGAGCATCAGTCTGAACCCTTGGATTACTTGCCCAGTAATCTTATTGGTCTTCTACAAGATT